CTTTGGACCGAAGGTCTAGCCTCAGTTCAGGAACATCAAGTTCATAATGAACTCCTCTTTTTTTCTAAGAATAGTTTGTGCAGGTAGGCCATTATGATCATTGGGACATAATTTTAAACCCTCAGGTGCTAGTGTCTTCCTAGTGCCTGTACTTTCAGAGTACTACATGAACATTTAAGATACTTTTTCATAGTGAAAAATGGGAGAACAATTTACAAATGTGTGCTCAAATTATAATCCCTAGATGTGGCCTGCTGCACCCTCAGCAAGGGGCAGGAGCTAATATCCCTGGCTGTGACTCTTGTTGTGCTTGCTTGTGTTGTCAAGTCAGATGCATAGTGACCTGATAGGACAGGGAGATCTGAACCACTGTCTTTTAGGTTAGCAACTAAGCATTTAATCACTGTGCCGCAAAGACAATTATAAGACTCCCTTTAAAATAATATTTTTTAAAAGCCCTTTCTACGAAGACGGTGCCAAAACCAAAAAAGGAAGCCACTGATCCTACCAAAACTGAAGCCAAAGCAAAGGCATTAAAGGCCTAGAAGGCAGTCCTGAAAGGCATCCACAACCACAAAAAAAATTAAAAAAAGAAGATCCACACATCACCCACCTTCCAGCAGCCTAAGACGCTTGAGACCCTGAAGGTAGTCCAAATACCTCCGGAAAAGCACCCCAGGAGAAAGAAGCTTGACCATTATGCCATCATCAAGTTTCCCCTGACCACTGAGATAGAAGATAACAACACACTTGTGTTCACTGTTGATGTTAAGGCCAACAACATCATATCAAACAAGCTGTGAAGAAGCTCTATGACACTGATGTGGCCAAGGTCGATACCTTGATTAGGTCTGATGGAAAAATGAAGGCCTATGTTCGACTTGCTCCTGATTATGACGCTTTAGATGTTGCCAACAAAACTGAGATCATCTGGGACGTTGGGCTGTATGAGGAATGTGGCATCAAGATTGATAGAAGATTGCAAGCAACAAATGCTGGCGAGGTTGTGGAGAAACTGGAACCTTTATTCACTGTTGGTGGGAGTGTAAAATGGTGCAAACCCTGTGGAAAGCGGTATGGCGGTTTCTCAAAAAGTTGCAAATAGAGATACCATTTGACCCAGCAATTCCACTACTGGGAATATACCCTGAAGAGATCATAACTGACATCCAAGCAGATATGTGCACACCCATGTTTATTGCAGCTTTGTTCACAATAGCAATGAGTTGGAAACAGCCTAAGTGCCCATCAACAAACAAATGGATAGAGAAGCTGTGGTATATTCGCACAACGGAATACTATGCTGCATTGAAAAACAAGGAATTCATGCAATATTATTCAAAATGGTTGACTCTGGAGAACATTATGCTGAGTGAAATATCCCAGCCACAAAGGGACAAATATTGCATGGTGCCACTGTTGTAGAACGGGACTGACCTTGGGGTTGGGGAGAGACTGAGTAAGATGGTTTCAATAAAGTATACTGCACTGAAACAGAGGAGGGAGAAAACTGTTTAAAAGAGATATGTGATTAGGTAATTCTGTCATGACAGGAGTTTAGAACGATGGCTATATGGTGGAGTGGACCTGGGGGAGGGTTTGGAAAACAATGAAAGAATATTTTCTTTTACTTTTCCAAGAGGGTAGTGTCTTGTGGGGGGGGGGAGCCTTGGGAGGGAACAAATATACAACAATGAATGAATGGAAATCCAAAGCCTCTGTAAATTTTCACTGAAATTAATAACAAATTTAAATTAAAAAAAA